CCTACCATCAGTCCGTATTAAAACAACTAAAAGTTTACTTCTTAAAAATTTTTAAAATAAATCTGGCAAAGTAAACCTGATCTTAGGTCTATACTTAAATTTTTTTTCCACAATCGATAGTGCTTCATGGAAAGCAAACTTAATTTCCAGCTGAAAAGTAATTTAAGCTCTTGCAACTTTTTATATCTAGAATATAGGAAAATTACCCATTTTCATAATTAATAGCAGTTTGCTGACACAGATTCAAAAGAAACCATTTCTAACACTTCAGAGATACAGGACTGTTGGATAAAGACCAATTGCGTTGGGAGCTGCTGTATGCGATAACATTCTAAACCATGCGCTGCTCAAAACGAAGGGGAAAATGCACTCACATTCAGGATGCTGTTGACAGAAACGCTATAACATACTCATTTCTAGCTTATAAAATCAGCAAACAGTTGTTGGCATATCAGAAGTCTGAAGGAGCCAATAAAAGTAAAGCAGATTTAAAATCTGGACACTGTACAATCTAAGCACCTGACAGTGCTGGCGCTTAGTAGGCTCTTAACAGCTATACTAAATGCATAAAGAGAAGGGGAGGGAAGGCAAGGGTGAAGGGGAGAGGGAGGGAAGGAATCGTTAATTTTATTTCAGAACCATCTTCTTGCTAAATACCACTCGTTCATTCATTTATTCACGTATTTATGCAGTTCATTTAATTACATTTACTGAGTATCTGCTCCAGGTGCGAGAAAAAGAGAAAAGCAAACATCTCCTCAACACTGCCAGCCTAGGGCTACCTGTTCTTTTCCCTTGGGGTTTTGATCAGGGAATTCTCAGTGTTAGAAATAGCATTGTTCCTTTATCCTTACACACAGTGCTCTTCCAAGAAATAATCTTAAATACTATCCACCTGTGTAAAGCATAGCTGAAGTGAACAAACTAAGATGGATGTACTGCAGGCTTAATACTGTAACACTTATATAAATCTATTTATCCTCTCATACATTAATAAACTCAAAGAATCACCATACGCTTGTGCCTTTGACTACATGTATATGTGTATGTACATACATACATTTTACACCAGTTTTACAGTAGCCGTACACTAGCCATACACTTCACAGCTAGTATCTGTTAGTGTAAAAGAGGAAAGTACATTAATTATATTCATATTCTCATTCTTAATTCACCTGCTTTTTAAGCAAACATATTTAATTTTGAACATATTCCTATATTGCATTAAAAATAGGAAAGTATTTTTTATTAAATTCCTAAATCTAGCATTTCAACCCAAGAGGACAAGCTTACCAATCTTTCAAGCACTTTTAATCAAGAAATGAAAATTTAATTAGCCAAGAGAATGAAATCATAAACAAACATTTCTATTTCTTGTACTAGATATCATTTATCACTCATTCTTTTATAATAATGTACACTTTCTAAATGCTTCATATAAAATTGGAAACTTCCAGAACAAAGACTTAGTATATGCCATATATTTTAGAAATATGTGAGCTATCTAAAGATGAGAGAAATAGGAAAAGATCTATCTCTAAGGAAAAGATAAAACTTCTTAATCTTATCTTTCCAACGTTTAAACAAAACACAAGCTTCCAACAGTGTTCTCCCAAATATTCCTTTACTTTATTTTTGAAAATTATGCTGAGAATTTTGTATAGTTTTAAATTTAAAAAAAAAAAACCTAGTATCTCACTTGAATGGAGATTTAAAAAGTGACAAATCTGAAAGCTGGATAAGAGTTGCTCTTTTACAATAAATAACATATTCTCTGTCAACTTCCTTGATTTCTTCCGAAGTCACACCATACTCTAATGTATAAAGAAATAAAGCATTTATAAAAAAATTTCCAAAATATTTTTAAAGCAGGCAATCTCACAAAGTAAAACAGCTGAAGGGAAACAAACTCTTCCACATTATTTTAGGCTGTTCTGCTTTATTCACGAACCTTCTTTAAGCCCCTGAAAATGAAGAAAAGTTACTGCCTGCACTGTGACAAGGCCAGCATCCCTCTCAGCAAGCAGCACCACTAACCTATGAATAGCAGCAGACACCGGGATATCAGCTGGTTCCTTCTTCCTTATAAAAGGCTGCATGTGGCATGAATGACCACCCTTAGGAAGTCGGGAAGTCCCAGGTCATAATCATGGAAACTTCCAGAAACGTATTTTTGTTTGCCTGTTTTATTTTAAGAAAATCTGTAACACACACCATTAAATCTCTTAAATGAAAAAAAGTAGAAGTGTTGTCCCAGTAAGTAGGCTGATTCCAGCCCCACTGAGACCACCTTCAAGTGCTGAATTCCAGAGCTGAATGTGGATTGTACATGGAATAACCTTATGTCTTCTGGTACCAGTTCTTTCCTCTCTTCCCTGAACAATCCCACCCTCTCAGCCTTCATCTCACAGTCCTGTGGGGCTCACTAAATCCACATCCGAGTAATCATCCCCACCGGTCATACCGAAAGGGATGCTTCAAAAACATGCTCCCATGGGAACTCTCCCCATAAGAGACGGGACTGCACTACCTCCCATGCAAAGTCTTCTGTAACACACAGTATGGCTAAAACACAGGTTAATACTGTTGACGTAGTAAATATCAGTGAAATATTTTAAAAATCAAAGGATCAAAATGTAGCAAATCTACTTACATCATTTAAGAGGTGAATTGATTTCTCCCATTAAATTGCTCTCAAGCAGACTAAGTTTCCCAATAAAATGTGTTAGCTTCTTTCTTCTTAGGGAAAAAAAAAGGCTGAATTGTTTTCAGATATTTTCATTACATAGAAAGTAGACAGAGGGCATTTTACTTATTGATAAAGTGGCCTGTTCAGTTATGATACAGCAAATATGATCTCTCAAATTGCTTTTAGCATATATATTTAAGCTTGTTTTTATGAGAATAAGCCTAAAGCTACTTATTATATTCATTAAATTAAAAGCAAGTATTCTTCTTGTAAGAGAATTTATTCCAGTAAAGTTAGCCTTTAGCAAATTTCTGAATTTGTCTTGCCTTTTCATGATTCTTAAATAACACTGACATGCCACAAAGGGAGAACATGACAATTTATTGTAACAAATCTTGTTTAAGAAAGGCCCTACCTTTTTCATTTTATAGTTGATATTTATATAAACAGCAAAACTCACCATATTGAATCCATAAGTCACAATTTACTAAACAGAAAATAACAAAATTGTACATAATCTTACCTGACACTCCAGTCGACAGACAATATCATATACTTATACTACTGATACAGTTGTCACCAAACTTTCAGCAATATTACCAAAACTTTTCAGCAACTTAAACTCACGTTAAAAGTCTAAATACTTCAGGTTTTGTATTTTTCCCAATCTTTTGAACTTAATGTGCTCTATCTTGATCATTTTATCCAAAAATTCATGAAACATTAGTTACAGCATCTTTGAAGACAGAAGAAAATGTGCACCTAACATCCACTGAGTCCTTACGTGTTATTAACTGCTGGCACTGTCTTTTACCCGTATAGTTAACCCTGCCATCTGAAAAAGTAGGTTTGCTTTGTCATGAGCTTCTTCAGCCATTCACTCTTACCTAGAGGGATTTAGTTTTCACATTAAAAGATGATAAATCATAATGAAGCTTCCATGTTCAAAAATCTTTAATGACTCAAACCCAAGTGGATGTTTTAAGTCTTCTTCCACATTGGGTCCAACCTACCTTTTCAAGCATGTGGTCCACAGTTTCCATCCACAACTCCCTGTTCTGCTAAGGTTGGTGTATTCACTGCCCCCTTTATCTCTAAATGTAGTTTTCGTATTGTTACACACTATCATTTTCATAAGAGAAAATTGTTACATCACTTCCTGTGGGTGCTTAATATCTTCTACTTCAGCCAGCTCAAGTCACCAACCTTTGCTTAAAAAGCATATCAACATATTTTCCTTCAACATTTTCACATGAATAAATTCCATAACAGAAATAAGGTTGTTTTCTAAGACATCTAAAAAAATGATAGATGAAAACATCTTAAAATCTTGTATTTCACAGCTTCTATAAACAATCATCAGTTCATCAAGAACTGCATTTTAACTCAAATTTGGTCCTGATTCATTATATTTATTTTATTTAATAAGTATAGTTTTTAAAATTAATCAGCCTTGTGATTCAATTCTGTATATAAACAAAGCACAAATTATTTAAGTAGACTGGCGTTGATATACTTATTAAAAAGGAATACTAACAGAACTTATATTTTGCATTGAACAAAAGCAATATATTTATTTGGAAAGCAGTGTAAGCTAAATATTTTCATTCTAATCACATACAGAATAACTAATGCTTTATAAAAGGATAAATAAATTAAGCTATTTTATTTTAGTAATAAGGAATTTTACAGAGGAGATGACTAAAATAAGAAAAAGATCATCCATTTTCCAATGTGCATTGTAATTTTATAATCCGTTAATTTTATTTCTGAACATATTGCTTGAATTAAGGTTGAGTTCTGGTTGTAGCTGACCCTTAAACATCCAGTTAATATTTTCTACCTTACTATTTATCAGGCTTCTCTACACTTTGATATATCACACTGGTGTTCTTAGAAAAACCACATGAGGTGGTAGAAGGAAAAATTAGACAAATATTTCTTAAAATTATATTTTTGAAAATACATCTATAATAACCCAGTTAAAATGATGGGATTTTGTTTTACAGACTATTTTCATAAAATTTAATAATTATGTTCATATTGAAGCAAAATCATGGGTCAGAACATTGAAGGATCTGGAAGTGTCCCCAGAAGGGCATAACAAATTCCCTACTCCAACTCAATTTATATGCCCCAGGATGATGTCAGAAACAAGCTATGAAGGTTAGAAAAAGCTTAAACCTCATTTCATATGCAGAATAGCAAGCAAAGACAAATAAGTAATTTAGACAAGTTTACCAATACAATAAGAAGAAGAAAATTACATAGCAAGATTTGACCTCAGTTTCAGAAATCAAGATACATTTACCTTGAAAGGCAGCTGCATTTCGAGATATCAGAAACTTTAATGCAGAGCTGGATGTTTGCAGCACCTGCTGCATATCTTGGCGAGCTGCGATCTGGTATCTCTCCTCCATCTTCCTGGTGCAACACGTAGGTTTTTTGGCTACGCAAACCTGAAGATCAGGTCCTGGAATGTATAGAATATATTTTCAAAATAGTTACCTGTTCATTCAACAAACATTACATATTACATACCAGGCATTAATGATCAGTGCTGCAGATAATGGGTTCATGTTTTATATGAAGAATTAGTTTATTAGAGCACTTGCTATAGGAAAATTTAACTTTTATCCATTAACCCAATCATGAACCAAAATATTCTCAACCATTAAATCTTTGCTCAAATATTTTATTCATTTCTTGATCAAATATTTAAATATGTCCACTCAATTAACTATTACTATTAACTAACAAATAGGCTATATAACAGAATACAAGTCAACTATTACATAAGTATGAAGCTAAATCAGGAAACCTTTTTAAATTAATTTAGCCAAAAACATTTGAACTGAATATGCTATAGAGAAGTATATGGGCTAAAAAACTGGTTTTTCCTGAAAAAAAACAAATTTTGTACATCAAATAAAGGCAAAAAAAACTGCACCTGATTACTTAGCTGGCCATATGCTTGTGTTCTTGTAGATTATGTGATTATCAGCAATAATGATATGATGGGAAATCAAGACCCCCCCTCAAAGATCCAAACCCAACCTCCAAACTTCTATTCATCATCTAGCTTGCTAGAGACAATCACTACCATTAAAAGCACTTTTTAATTTTACAACCATATTCAGAAAACTCCTGTGAAGATGCATATTACATAAAATGTAAAGTTATTACACATTTGTGCTTAAAATTTTTTTGCTAAGGGGGAACAGTCAAAATGGTGGAGGAGGAAGAATCTGAGCTCGCCTCCTCCCACAGGCATGCCAAAGTTCCAGCTATTTACAGAGCAGCTATTGATGAGAAAGCCCAGAGGACTAGTGGGAAAGAACTTCTACAACAAAAGATATAAAGAGGGAACCACAATGAGACAGG